CGCGGTGAGTTACGGCATTTTTACTGAAGTACTGCGCACGCTTGCCTTCAAAAAAAATCACAAGTGGATCACTGCCTCATGTATTTTAATGCTCGTAGAACAAAAAACGTGATCCCTCCTTAAATGTGTGTTCAAACCAACCAAGACCTTATTGGAGAAATGCATTGCTTTAATCGAAGGAACCGGCAGTGCGTTACAAATGCTTAACTTACTTTCGGGTTTTAGGACCCGTTCCACTGCGGCGGTTCTTCTAATGCGGCCCCTTCTTCACTCGCGTTAAATGGATTTCCTTTGCGTCCCTCGCTTGCGTCGTTTTTCCCCTGGGTGTTTAGTTCCCTCCCTTCAGGGAAAGCTAATGGAGGTGCAAGGAAAAAACACGAGGAAGGCAGGGAAATGATTTTATAGCAATGGCGGACGTCCTTTTTCCTCCCGCGAGGCATTTCCACGCTGAAGCGACGTTCCTTTGCTGATGCGCTGCCCACAGCCTTAGCTTCGTCTGACACCAGCTCTGTTCCCGTTATTTTCACAAACACCCCGCCCACACATTTTTACTGAACAGCAAAAAAAACATTTGATCATCTGTGCTAGAACCCAATAAATCAATCAAATAAGAAAACTATTCTAAAAGATAAAACGACCATTCTTAAAATGTATTAAAACGAACAATAGTTAGATTGAATTTGATTAAGAGTGCCACAATAGAAATAAAAATATTGAGAGAAGAAAAGATATGTATGTTATCTAATCAAAAAACCCAAGTTAGATCTAACATTCACTTGCGATTGCCACAACTTGTTTGTTTGTTTTGCGATATGTAGCAAATTAAAACATTTTTAATTAAGCAAAACTTAATGACTGGACTGGGGAATGCAAATGACAGTAAATGAAAAATATAAAAACGAAAAAAGCGATCATGAAAAAAATGTTTCAAAAAATGAAAAACAATTTTTTTTGACCAACTTTGTTGTTCGAACATATCAAACATATTTGTAACTAATGATAAAATTGAATGAAAAAACCAAAAAAACACGTTTAAACTGAGGAGCTTTGGGACTTCTCGTGAGTTCTTATTTTTTCTTCACTCCGCTGGGCAAAAACTGCGCGTCTCATGTTTCAAGAAGCCATCAGAATCAGCTGCATGCCCAGTGGCATCGTCCAATCAGGCTGAGCGTATACCCAACAGTAAGGGGGCGGGGGCCAATTGTCTGAGGATTTCATCGGAGGATGGTCTGGTGCCGTTCCTCGCGTTATAGCCCTTTTTCCTTTATTATCGGCTTCCTCGGGTTCCTCGCCTCCTCCGGCCAAAAAAATAAGGCCCAATTGGCACGGCTACTTCAAGAGTGCGCAGAAACAATTTCAAACTATCCGGTGAGACCGAAGACCGAGGAGCGCAGGAAATTTGAAAATTTTAAGAGAAGTGAAGAAGGGCCCTGTGAGGAGCCTTCATTCCACCATTTTGGAAGCCAGGATAAGCAAACCCCGTGGTTTTTGCTGATGGCAAATTGGTCACCCTCGCCAAGTTTTGGCGGGCTGGCAGCGAGCTGTTTGGCCTGATTGCAGAGCGGATGCCCACGTTTCTGGGGTGCCTTACGGTTTAACCATGGTCACCTGGATGTAGAAGGGCCCAGGAAATCCATTCACAGCATGGTTACGCTAGTACCAAGTGTTCTTGAAGTGGATTCTAGCAGTTACTGGAAGCCAGTGAAAGGAGGCCCCATTACTCCAAAAAGCCCGCCCCCCCTCCCTGAAAAATAATGGCTGATTAGGAACCCGATAGAAACTTTTTTTTATTCAACTTAAATCAGTGATGAGATTGATGAAGCTACACTAATCTCGATTTTCCTTCATGGGATTATGCTAACAAGTAAGACAGAGAATGTAGTGTGCACCCAACATGCACTTTTTTTTGTTTATATTGGCTGTTGTAAATTAACTCCTTGTGTCTTGGCTGTGTTTTCAGAACTTCAAAAAGCATGTGTGTGATGCCCACATTCAGCGACAATTTCAGTGTCTTTTTTTTTAAAACAGAAGACCGTTGCCAGAAGCTGCAACTTAGGACTGCGCGAAACTTATTTCGTTTTTTTGCTTTTTGAGGATGGAAAACAATTCACCACACAGATATAGGGAAGCCTAGACCTATTACAATTGATTTATTAGGTTTTATTTTAGATGACAAGACGAAAGAAGAGAAGAAAAAAAAGAGATCTCCAAAAAATAATTTTCAGCTTTAAGTCTCAGCCAAAAAACTTACCAACAAAACATTTTTCTGGAAGCGCCTTGTAACCCCAAGAAGCACTAATAAGAACAATTTCACCAAGCAGCCACTGGAAAAATGGTCGCTTTAATTTTTGTTCTGCTTTCTACAGACCTTTTGTGCGAAGCAGCCTTTTTCTGACATGAATGTCATTGGAAAAAAAAATTAAATACAGAAACAAGACTGACGGCTGAACATTCTAAATGATATCGGAAGCGAAAAACTTAAGTGCGTTTCCCAGCATTACACCTCTGGTGGACTCCATGCAGTGCCCATTCATCTCACTAACTTGTGAAAGAGCTGAAATTGCTTGCAAGGTTGCTGCATTAAGGACATTTTATGGCTGTCTTTTCCAGTGAAAAGTACTTCAACTATGTGGGCCAGAAATTTAATATTGTGAGACATTTCGCTTTTCTGCGAAGCTTGATGTGGAGCCTTAAGATTTATTGATAAGCTTTAGGTATTGCAATTTCCACAAAGTTGCTACCAAAAGTATAGCTTAATTCAACTGATGAGAGGCTATGTGAATAAATTGTAAAGCCGATGTGCATGCCAAGTAAGCTCTGGCCACTTTCTTTTCACAAAGTAGCTTCTCAGATTGAAAAGAAAAGTTGGAGACCCCTGCGTCTATACAGCTAATTGAAAATATTTGATGGATATTTGGAGGTTGCAAAACAAGTGAAACACTAACATTTATCATTTGTGAGCATTTTAGCATGAAAACATTAAGCTTCAATGCCTACTGTTAGCATGGCTGCGCAGCAATCCTACACACCCCCCCAAAAAAAAAAACAGTTCAGGCAAAAATTTATTCAAAGTCCTTCTGACAGCAGTGAGTCTAAAAACTATCACCGTTGCCATTTAAAAGAGATTTCCAAAAGCATTCGTGTTACCATAAAAGATTTGGTCCCGGCCAGGTCAACATAGCGTTGGTTGTCCACAAATTTCAAGTGTGAATGATATCTGGAGGCTAGTGACATTGCAAAGAACATTGTGCAGGAACAAGTGACTCAGACCCTCTTGTCAACACCACACACAACACAACATACACAACACACAACACAACCAACACACACACACACACACACACCCAACACACACACACACACACACACACACACACACACACACACACACACACACACAGACGAAACGGGTTGTTTGCCCTTAATGCCCTACAGTTTTTACTGATTCTGAAGATGTTTTTTGTCCCAGATTTGAAAACAGTAGGATTTGTCTGATATTACAGAGTTGGATGTTATCTCCTACATAGTGGCATTTCTAGTTAGACCTGACCTAGACATAATTAGATCAGGCGTATCAAACCAGTCCAGGCTATACTCTTATTCACAGGGGTTTGTCTAGGGAGGCTGTGGATCAGTGGCACTGGTTCAATCCCCACTGCAGTCAGCATGTCGTTGTGTCCCTGGGCGAGACACTTCACCCCAAATTGCTCCTGTGGGGACTGCCCGCTCGCTTTAAGGTAAAAACAAGTAACATGTAACACTGTAATGTATTCCAAAATATGAATTGACATTTCATAAATAGAACAATGAAGTAACCCTGACAGTTTTTCATACACACAAATATTGTTGCACATGTTGAAATCCCCAGACTTTAGGTTGTGTCTGACCTTTAGAAGACATCCCAGAGAGTGTCCATAGCAACTCTAATCTCCAATCACTCAGAGGCTAATTAAGATGTCTGCATCAGTTTTGAGACTTTGTATGTTTTATTTCCTAGAGATCCAACTTGAGTCTAAAATAAGCAGCATTTCTTAATAATTAAGCTTGTGCAACCAGAATTGAATCAACCGTAGTGTGTTAGATTAGATATAATAAGATGTGTCAGGCTCATGTTGAAAGATGCCAGAAGGGAGATGTGCTTTTCCCGGACTGACAACACGAGGGAGGAAATAAATAAGCTGCTACAGAAGTGAAGCATTAATTGAGGCACATAGCTTAAAAGTGAAAAAAGAACAACAACAGGGATCCTATACTCGACTTCAGTAACGTCCGTTCACTCCAGCGCTCTGTCTTCTAACCTCTTTTTCTTTTCTTTACTGGCAACAGTTTAGCCATCATGAATCCCAAGTCTTGTGCTCGCCACAAATATAAAAATAAATATTCAAAAAGTATTCCATGGTGTTTTCTGATAGAGAAAAATAATGTTTGTATACAGCTGACATTCAATGGACCGGACTTCTTTCTGCAGGTGATATGACTTCCCACACCCCTTAGCAACGGTCTGTTCTCCTTAGCAACCGTCTGTTAGCAAAACATAGAAGACTTCTGAAATGTCCAAATTGACCAATCAGAATCAAGTATTCAATGTCAGAAGCTCTTTCAATAATTAACAGCATATAACAGGGTATTCCCATCCGCTTGCTACAGTATAGGCACAGTATATACACACACACGCACGCACGCACGCACGCACGCACGCACGCA